GAGCACAAGAAACAACAGAGTCCAGAGGGGTCTGGACAGTGGCCGTCTGGCGTCCCAGACAGGCAAGGGGGCGAGAGAACATCCGTGTCTCTGCTCCATTTACCAAAAGAAACTCAGGAGGGTGATGGTGGCTTGGGGGGGGGTACACAAAAGGAGGGCAAGTGACCAGCAAGGGGTAACACTTGACTGAGAACCTACCTAATAAAATCCTCTCTTGTAGAAGTGTGTCACTGTTTTACAGGTTCAAAAAATATAGAGCAGTGAAGATGGGGGTGGGGATCCAAACCTCTATGTAATAAGTGGATGTGCCAAAGGAGAATGGATGCTGCAAATACCGCGACCCTGACCGGGCGGGGGTGGTGAGCACTGAGGGGGACACCTTTGGCATGAGGGGAAAAAACTGCTGCAAGCGAATCCTGAACTTATTTCCGTTTAGATTTTCCAAGTGGAGGAGGCACAGTGACCCTGAATGGATTCCACGCTCACCGCAGGAGAAAGCCACACGCAAGTATGTTGGTTGGGAACGTGGGTCTCACTAGTGAAGAAGCAAGATGTGCATGTGGACCGGGGCAGGAGAGGCCTAGGGTAGGAGTCCTGGGGAGAACTCGTGACTTTCCAGTTCTTTCCAAGAAAAGGGTCTAAGAGCAGCTCAGTTCAGCAGGGCTTCCCCAGTGGCAGTGAAGTTGTGTCGGTGCTGTCCAGTACGGTCACCACCAGCCCATTGTGGCTATGAGCTTGAAATGTGCCCAGTGCACCTGAAGAGCTGAATTTTAATTTTATTTAATGTAACTGATTTATTTTACGGCACTGGGGATAGAACCCAAGGCCTTGTATATGCTAGGTGAGCTCAATACCACTGAGCCACTTCCCCAGCCCCATAAGGTTTAATTTTAAATTTAAACTGCCACCCGTGGCCAGCGTCCATCTTATCAGACGCCCAGCTCTAGAAGCAGCAGCACCATGGTAACTCAACGCAACAGGAACACCCACCCATCCTGTAATCCATTTTCTTCTTATTGGGGTTGTGTTGGGGTGTGGGTATGTGAGTGTGAGTGTGTGTGTGTGTGTGTGTGTGTGTGTGTGTGTGTGTGTATTACTAGGGATTTAACTCAGGCACTTTACCACTGAGTTACATCCCTTTGACTTTCTTCTTCTTCTTTTTTTTTTTTTTTTAAAGACAGGATGAGGTCGGCCTCAGACTTGCCATCCTCTGGCCTCAGCCTCCCAAGTTGCTGGGATTACAGTTGTGTGCCAACATGCCCCAGACCTGGGCTTTTAAGTACTGTTTCCCACCAAAAGGAACCAGGGTCCCCTGCAGCGATGGCTTATTCCAAGGTCAAGCAGGAAGGTTAGAAGGTGACTCTAGAACATCCGATTTGCCACAGAATAGGAAAGGTGCTCAATTAAAACAACAGCTGTGAAACAGGAGCCGGGGAAGGGGATCGGGGAGAGTGACAACCTTTATACAAAACAGGGTCCTTAAGGCCACATGAATCACAAACAGGAAGACAGGAGAAAAGGGAGCTCTCCTGCTTACCAGGAAGAGCACAGCCGTAAAAAATCACTTAGTGACATTTCTATGAGAGTAGGCCCACCCCACCCTCAAATCCATTTTCTTTCCAAACGTCAGATAAAATATTTTTCAACGTCCATTCGTGTTCTTAGTACTTATAAATATATATATGTACGTACGTACACACACACACACACACACACACACTTCACCATATTAACAAAACAATTAATTATGAGCTCAAACGACCCTGGTCACCAATGGAAGGAAGAACCCAGCAATTCTCATTTCCCAGGTGCTGGAGAATCACTAAGCAACCCCCCTCCCGCCCCCAGTCACAGCACATGAGGTTCTGTCACACTCGGCCGCCTCCTAGCCTGGCTCAGGGCCACGCCAGCGCCCCACGGGAAAGCAGCCCCACAGGATGCTTCCAAAGGAAACGCTGCCGAGCATGCGCCGGAGCCCCTCACTGCTAGCTGCCCAAATGGCTTTTCAACACCCCCTTTCTCAGAACCATGGCCACTTCTTTAGTGAAGAAATAAACAAAACGCATTTTCACAAGACGTCATTAACAGATTCTAGGAAGATCAAGCATAGAAAATCATTTCATAATCTTAAAGAGACAAACACACATGGGTCATTTCCAAGTAGGTGTGGATTGCGGCTGACTGCAGAAAACTTCTAAAACACATGAAATAAAAAGGGAGCAGGCTAGAGGTCAAGGGGTGCACGTTTCATCACATCACATGACAGTACTTACCAAGTACCCTACACCGTATTAGTCAGAGGTGCCACATCTTTTCGTTTCACCTGTGAAATCTGTCATTAAGCTCTTAGAGAACACATGCAGAAACCCTGGTGTGTCGTTGAAATTGAGGGACACCCAGAATGAACTGACTGCACACCAGTTTTCCAACTTACAATTCAAAAGTCTCTCAAACTGCACACTTAAAAATGGTTAAGATGAAGGGCACAGAGGCTCACAGCTGTAATCCTAATGATCCTGGAGGACCTCAAGTTCAAAGCCAGCCTGGGTAACTTAGTGACACCCTGACTCAGTGGCAGAGCAGCCTTGGGTTCAATCTCCAGTACTGCCCCCACCCCCAGAACAAAAGGTTAAGATGATACATTTACTGCCAGGACACTCCTGTGCACACTTTAATGGAGGCTAGACTGGAGGATCACAAGTTCAAGGCCAGCTTCAGCAACTTAGCAAGACCCCCGTGCAACTTAATGAGACTCTGTCCCTAAATAAAAAGTCAAAAGGCCTAGGGATGTGGCTCAGTGGTTAAGGACCTCTGGGTTCAATCTCCAGTACCAAAAACTAGATAAAAATTAAAAAATTTTAAAAGGGGGCAGTAGCCACCTAGCTGATGTGAGCACAGGGGGTGTAGTAGAGTGGGGTGCTACTGTGTCTTCTTCCCTAAAATTCTGCATGATGGTGTCAATTATGAATTGCACACAGAATTTAATAATTCTATCTCTATTATTTACTCTTAAAGTTGTGTATAATATCATCACAGACCTATACTTCCAGGCCGTATCTGTCAAGCCAAGGAGTTACAGAATCATTTCTAAGTGCTTTCACATTCTAATCATACCAACGTCTGAAGCTGAGTGTTTGCCGTCTGCCGAGTGCTGCACTAAGCACTCAAAATAATCATTTGAGGAAGGTCCCCTGGTTACTCCCACGAAGGATAAAGAAGGTGGGATTCAAACCCAGGTGTTTAGACTAAAGTGTACACATCTCAAACATTAAGTTCTCTATTACTAGCATCTGAAAAATGGAATCATTCATAAAAATAAGGCCGACCATCAAGTGTATGCCAAACCTGGGTCCAACTCCCTGCATATTTTAGCTCTAATGCTTAAAATAGTTGTGTCCACTAGCTATTATCACTGTCATTTTACAAATAAGGACATTCAGCTCAGAAAAACCAAGGGACTTGTCAAGGCCTCACAGCTGGCAGGTGGCAGAATAAGGATTGAAACCAAGGCCTGTTGGATCACAAAATGTTGTCACAAAGCTGACTCTTCCTTCCTTTAAAAATAAAAGGAACTGGTCTCTGATTTGGGGTTAGGAAGAGAGGAGAAGAAACAATTCCTAGTAATGGAAGGATGGACTCCAACAGTCCAGAGGCCAGCAGCCTCCCCAGTGTGCAGAGCTGGTGGATCTGCAGGGCCCTGCTGCGGCTGGATTCCTGATTGTAGCAAATTCCAGGGCTCCAGACTGCAGGCTCAGCCTCTGACTAACACTGCAGTGATTTATTAGAGGATAAATACCTATGTCAATGTCTTATGACTGAACACAACAGGCCAAGCAGATTGGAACGCCAGGAATGCGAGGCTGCCTGAGCTCTGCAGCTCGGGCCACCTCCAGCCGCAGAAGCGCCCTGCCTCCAAGGAGGAAGCCCTCGGAGCCACCGCCTGGCCCAAGGAGCAGCGTCCTTGGGAGTCAGATTGGTGAGACCAGCCTCCTGGAGGAGGACAAAACATTCCTTGGGCTGGCTGGAGGGAGGGGCAAGCCCAGGACCCACGACCACACCAAGCCTCTCCTCCGCACAATCAGAGTGACTTCACCACCACGGCTGACAAGACACCAGGCTCCGATGGTACCAACCCAACGGGATACACAACTGCCACCTGGGACTCTGCCAGGGGCTGGCCAGGTGCCTCCACATCCTGAAAGCATGGGGAAGGCAGTCGGCTCCCTTTGAGATGGGGAGTGTGGAGCGGACAGGTGGGATGGACGGAGGCAGAGCAGGCTGCGTTCCAGGTAGGAGCCCGGTCCCGCCACTCAGATCCGGACCGCTTGAGCTTCAACCCCTTCATCTTGCAGAGGAAGAAACCAAGGCCCATGGAGTTACAGGGATCTGGGTCAAGACAGTGGAGCACAGGTGTTGGTGGCAGATGGGGGACTGGCACCCAGGCCTCTCGGTCCAATGGCCGGTTCTCCGACCACTGCTGCAGGCTGAGGTCAGCTGGGACGAGCAGCCCCTGGTGCTGAACACGGAAGCCTGGCTCCCCCTCCCCGGGAAGGTCTCGAGTTCGCACCAGGAGCACAGAGGTGCATCCCTCACGCACACGCGTGAACACGCATGATCCAGACCCCACTCAGCTGCCAACCCTACCTTCTGCTCCCCCAACACACGACAGTCACTGACATCAGTTCTCTCAAAAACAATCAGTAGGTGCAGGAGAGAAGAGCCCAGTTTTCCAGACAGAAGCCCTGGAGCTCTGAGAGACTCTTCCCTTCAATGGGGCCACGCAGCCCAGGAGGCCCAATCTGCAGGAAGGAAGCCGCCTCTCTCCACAGCTGTAAGGTTACCTGGGCACCTTCCTGGCAGAGCAGAGCTATTTATCTTTGACAGAAAGTACCTTATGAACAACTTTAAAAAAATGACAGCTGAATCACTGGCACAAAGTCATTCAAGAAATCTGGCCCCAGCCTGGGGGTGCGCAAGCCCAGGAAGGAGAAGGGACTTACATGTGGGGGTTGAAGATGCGACTCATCTTGGAGACGTGGTCGTTTTCACAGTCGAGGTCCTCGTCCCCAGGCTCCATGCTGAACTTCCTCTTGCTGGGGCTGATGGGGGGAGGGCCAGTGCGGTGGCTGCTGAGGGCAGAGGCCACTGGGAGGGTCTGCATTCTGGGTTCTCCCCTGAGAGCAGCTTCACCTACGCACAGAGAGAGAGATGATGCTGTCACCAGGCAGGACAGCCCCCATCTGGGTCCCCAGGCTCCCCCGCCTGCCCGCCCGGCCCCTTGCAAAACTGCTCCCAGTGGAAAGTTTTTGGCAACGTGACGGGCTGCCTGCCACCCTCAGGACATGGTCTGAGCCCGAGTCCTCTGCCAAGCATGGGGCGTTTGACATCAACGCGGTTTTCAGCACAGTCTTTAGGGTAGAGTTTAAAATGAAAAGGTGCAATACAGCAGAGAGGGAGGAAAACAGCGTCCGCCACCAACGACCTCAAAGGCTAATTTGAAACATGGAAGGCCCCCGACTCCCAGGTACTCGGCTCCCTCAGCCAGGAGAACGCCCTCCCAAGCCCACCAACCGCCACGCCAAGCCGCCTTCTCTGGCCTGTTATGCTTTTATTATATTTTTGGTCTATTTTTTGGGTTTTGTTCAGAACAAGGAAAACATATGGGCTAACAGTTCACATTTGCCCCTGAAGTGAAAAGGAAGAAAAATACATTGCTTAATGAGAAATAAACATTTTATTCCTAGAAACGGCTTGTGAAAATCTGACGCCGTTGGTCTGGTTATCAGCACCAGGTTTCAGTGTCTAACCTGTGGGGGGCAGAGGTACCGCTCTCCAGACACTTTTCAAAGTCAGACGCCCAAATTGCAGTTCTGATTTTGATGTGATTTGACACCTTGGTGTTTTCTACAACCACTATGTTAACAGGCTTTGTCCCAGATGATAACTCAGTGTCTCACTATGAACTAAAGCAAGTGTGAACTTTCTCATTGATAACGATTCTGTGTGTACCTTCCAAACTTCGTCACCAACAGTGATCATTATTTCAAGTGAAATGAACGTCAAGCTCTCCGAGTCCCACGGGGGCGGGCACCTCGATTTTTTCACAAATAATAACCCTTTTGTTGTGCAATATGTCTTGGTCTCTGAGGCCTGAGCAGTTCTGTTTCCTTTTGGTCACAATTTGAGAGTCATTCTGGGATGGAGGCAACTCATCAGAGGCCCTGTGGCACCTAAGAAAAGCAATCTCTGTCTGCCACCTCTCCTGCTCAGATCATCACAGATGTGTCGCGGGTTTAACAGACACTGGCTTCATACACACACGACAAATGCCATTTTGTTACGGGAAGGAGGGAGGGAACAGCCTCTGACCATTTACCAGGAAAAATAAAATCTCTGTCAATTTAGTCAGCAAGATATAAACTCACAAATATACACTGACCTATCGGACACCTCCAGGCATGGCTTCTTATAAGGGTTCTGGCCCCAAAACAAACTGGAACTTTCCATTCTAAATGAAATACAAAAAATAAAAAAACCAACCTAATCCTAGGCTAGGCTTCGACCCTTAGAAAGTTGGTATGTCTCTGGTTTGGCCACCACTTCCTACCGAGTAGCTTTTGTATTTAAGAAAAAAAAAAAAAAAAAGCAAAGATAATCCTTCTACCTTGGTAAATTAGAAAATACTAATTCCAAACATCCCCCTTTTTTCTTGTCGTCCTCCTTCCACGGAGAGAAAAGAGGGTGTCCCCAGGTAAAACTTCCGCTGCCCAGGCAACCTTCTGGGGATCCCTGATGACGGAACCCCAGGAATCAGCAAGTGTGACTCAAACCTCAGGTCAAAGCGGCCTGGCCTCCCACACTGTGCCCAGGGTGTCTCAGCACCCTGGCCTGGAGCTGAGGGGGCGGGGAGGAGGGAGCTCTGCGGACCCCTGAGCTTTGGCCACCATTTCATCAGCCGACTGCTGGGTGGCAACAGAAGTTGCTATGGAAAACAAGCGTCACGGCAACAAAGTCAGATCCGTCCAAAAAAGGAGCTCGTCATTCATGACACTGTGGCACGGAGAGCAAAGGCTCCTGGGAAGAACAACATTCCCTCCCCCTCGGGGCTCCAGGGCCATCCTAGTAAAAATTCTTGTGATCATTGGCATTTCAAAGTTCATCAAGCGGATGCACTGCTCAGTCTAACGACTGAAAAGAAAAAAGTCCACAGCAATTCTCAGAAAGCACTGGAGATCCCTAACCAGGGAGTGGTGAAGGGACCACGGAGGCCCCCTAGATGACCCTTGAGCTGGAGGTGACCTGGAGTCACAGCACATCAGCATCTTGGAGGCTGCGCTGGAAGGAGCCTGGGGAACGCTTGGCTGGGGATGCAGGAGGCCTCAGGTTCCATCCCCAGCAAACACACAACAATTATTTAGTTAAACTCATCAGATATTTTGGTCGGGGGACTCAAGACACCTGTGTTCCAATTCTGCTCTTCCCGCGTGCAGTTCTACTCTCTGGCCTCCCACAGTGAGGGCCTGGGCCAGGTAAGACCTTCCAGCCCTTAGACGGACTGAGCCACAGTCCCGAAATTAATCAAGTGACCAACCGACCAACATTTACCAAGACGTCATTACACAAGGGATTGTGATACTAACCCAGCAAAACCAAAGCGTGACCCTCGACTGTTGTGTGTGTTGAGAGAGATAGAGGTGACCCTGGGTTACAACAGACTTGGAAACCATGAGATGAAACAACTGTCACAGGTTTCTTAATGGCAGGTCTTGTCGTCTGTCAGACGGCAAGACAGAAACCCTGCTCCCCGCCATCATTCTGCACCGTCCCCTCGTGCCATCTCTCAAAGCATTGTCCTCAGCACGTCCACCCACCCCATCTCCAATGCCCAGCAGTCACTGGGAAGCCATGCCCAGACTGCTTCTGCTCTCACAAATGACAGCCAGGTCCTTCCTTGTTTGTCCAGGCATAGCCACCCTTTCTGAGCCCTCACACTTTTAACCCTAGAAGTTAAGCAGTCACCACTGCACACAGAACTCATGGTCCACCCTCCACACCCTCACCAGGGTCTCCCCTCAGGCTCCTCTTATCTAAAGTCTGTGTATCCTGCAGAGTCACTTCAAAAGCCACATCCTTCCAGACTTCTTCCTCGATTCCTCAATCCGAACATCTCTTTCCACTAAGATCTATCGTGGTGGCGCTTGCCTTCCTAGTTTGTTTTGTGCTCCTTGAAGAAGGGATCATTTATTTTATGTATCTGAGAATACAGAACACTCGTGATCCTCCTGTGCACACCACGATGCTCACATGGAGGAATGAGGCAACAGTACAGGAAGGTGACAGATTTTTAGGTTATATTAAAGATCTAAGATGCCACAGAGTAAGGAATAAAATCTATTCAATAACACATTTACATGACCAGCTCTCGTAAGTCAGCAATGAAAAGAGAACTTAACCTGGGCACAGTGGCAGACGCCTGTGACCCCAGCCACTTGGGGAGGCTAAGGCAGGAGAAACGCAAGTTCCAGGCCATCCCTGGCAACTTAGTGAGACTGTCTCAAAATAAAAAGGGCTGGGGATGCAGCTCTGGGGTACACACCCCCTGGGTTCAATCCCCAGGACAGCAAATAAAAAAATTTAAAAATACGGTATATCCCAGCAAGGAGACATAATTCAGCCATTAAAAGGAATGAAGTCCCGTTGGTGCCGGGGCCTCTATGAACCTGGGAAGCAGGGAGGTAAGAAGGAAGCCAGAGGCAAAGGCCACATGTTGCTGCGTTTCCATCAGATGTCCAGACCAGACCCACTAGAGACACAGAGTAGATTAGCGTGGCTGTGGGCTGGGAGGGCGGCTGGGAAGTGACAGCTAACAGGTGCCGGGATTCTACTGGGGATGATAAAAATATTCTGCAATCAATTGTGGGAAGGTCGCACGGCTCCAAAACGTAGGAAAGCCAACGTGCAGGCTTCGGGCGAACTGGACAGTGTAGAGATGCAACCCCCAAACAATAAAAAGATAACCGAAGACTCCAATGTTACCGCATCCTTTTCTCTCTTGGGCTTTTCACACTTAACTGTTAAACGAATAAGAACAGGAATCTTTCCGGAGTTTTAAAAAAAAAAAAGTCTTGACATTGTGGTATCATCTCTCTGTGATACTCAAGTCAGACATTTTTTCCTTTTCTGGGGGCGGGAGGTACCAGGAATTGAACTCAGGGGCACTGAACTACTGAGCCACATCCCCAGCCCTATTTTGTATTTTATTTAGAGACAGGGGCTCACTGAGCTACTTAGCGCCCCGCGGTTGCTGAGGTTGGCTTTGAACTCGTGATCCTCCTGTCTCAACCTCCTGAGCCCCTGGGATTCCAGGCATGCAGCACTTGGCCTGGCCATTTAACTACCTTTTAACTCACAGTTATAACTAAAGAGATCCTATTTTAAAAAGAAAATGCCTTTGACCTTTTCATTTTATTTATTTATTGATTGATTGATTGATTGTTCAAAACATTACAGAGCTCATGATGTATCATATTTTATACATTTGACTCAATTGGGTTTTATATATAAAATTTATTTTTTAGTTGTAGTTGGACACAATACCTTTATTTTATTTATTTATTTTTATGTGGTGCTGAGGATCGAACCCAGGGCCTTGCTCGTGCTAGGTGAGCGCTCTACCCCTGAGCCCCAGCCCAGCCCTCTTTGGACTTTTTAATGAAGATAATTTTATCCAGGTGTGTGTTACTGAAGAAAAATGCCTGCTACATGCAAAACTTGTGTAAGTGCTGTTTTTTAGTCTTGGTGATAGTTCAAATGAATGGTTCAAAAATCTTCCTTAAATACTTTCCCCCTCAATTGAAGATAAGCAAACATTTGGGCCCAGCGTTTTACAAGAATCAGCATATACGTACTTCAGTGAGGGAAAGTTTAACTCGAGAGAGGAAAGGCAGAATCATTCGGTTTTCTGATGTGCTATGTGGGCACAGACATCACAAGACAACTCTGCCTTCAGAGTCAGAAAGGAGCAGAGCCCCCAGCAAGGTGATTCAGAGAAGAGAGGCTCCCTTCCTAATCGTATTATCTTCGTATCTGAAGGATTCTAAACGCCCTCCCCTTCCTACATCGTAATACTGCCAAGACTCAAGTTTCTCTTATGCTCAAATGGTGTATTTAATGGATGAGACCACTTCTTA